AAATAATATTTCTAGCCCTAACGTCAAATTGTGCTTTTCTATTTTCCTCTGTTGACCATCTAGAAAAAGGTTTAGGAACGTCTACACCGTTCTCAGTAACTTTAGGAATATAGGGACCGTTTAAAATAGCGTCCCAAACGCCTCTATCAACAGACTCTAAAAAGATTGCATTCTTACTTTCCAGAAAGGATAATTTTGACCCGCAAAAAGTGGGGGTCTGTTGATAGACGCACCTTCGGCAAAAGTTTGATTTTGTCCGGCCATTTTCGAAAAGTTTGAATGACTATCAAAGCAAGCTCTGATACCACTTGTTAGAATCGCGCAGCGGAATGTTTGCGTTGTCGGACAAAAACCAAGAGGGGGGTGAATTGGTTTCTTAACAAAAATTAGGTTTTAAAAATTTTCCCCAAATTTTACTGATTAAAATGCTGTGTAAACGTAAATACATAGAGATAGAGTCTTACACAGGAGATTTATATTGGTTTGGATCAAAAGACCCTATGTCCACTTGCTAATCACTCAAACAGAGGATTAACGCTGTCACTATAATCAAAGTTGTTACAAGCAGATAACAATGGAAAAGATAAAGTAAAGAAAACACCTCTCTTAAAATTCACAAGAGATGAAAAACAACTTTCCCTAGAGACGGCACAACACACAATCCACTAAGAACTCCACTTAGTGATTCTTATCGCTTCTAGCCCACACCAGGTTCCAAAAGCCCCTTTTTCCTCCAACAAATAGTTCTCTGGCACTCACAACACTTAACTTTTGTTTGAAAAAGGTTGTTCATTTTTTTTCTGAGAGCCATAGAGAACCTTAAGTAGATGAATTAGGGTTTGGGAATTGGGGATTTTTGGAACTTGGAGTATTGGGATTAGGGTTTTCAAAAATAGGTTTAATTTGAAGTTCAAAATCCAAATCTAACTGAAATAATCGATTAAATGAAGTGTTAATCGATTATTACAGAGTCAAAATCAACAGAACCCCAAAACTCACTGTTTTAAACGATTAAGTGCCCTGTTAATCGATTAACTGGCCTGTTAATCGATTAACAGGTGTGTTAATCGATTATTACAGTGAACAGATACAGAAAATGGTTTTTCTCACTGTAATAATCGATTATTTGATGATTTAATCGATTAAACCCGAGGCTTATTGATAAATATGAGTTTTTGAAGCTTCTAAAGAGTAGACTATGTACCGGCTATCTTAGACTCTAATATTACAGACTCAAAACTCATCAAAACACAATTATTACACAACAATACAAGTCTTCAACACTCTAAGTTCTTTGTTCTTGAATCATCATCAAAATCAACAAGTTTCATGTCCATTTAAGTTCAACATCAAGTCCTTGTATGTTCAACAAATGTTACTATCATGAAGTTTGAAATGAACAAAGAGGATGAAGTTGACAGAGAGAAATATATTGGCGAAAAAAAAAATTAAATGAAGATATGATCTTATACAAGAAGGAGGATGACACAAAATACAAAATGAAAAAGGAGAAAAAATTTCAAGCAAAATAAAAGAAATAATATCAAATTCAAATAAACAATTTATAAAGTAAGGAGAAATAATGAAAAATATTATTTTATTATATTTTATTTAAATTATATATTAAGATATATTTTTTTTATCTTTTAGAATAAGAGAAAAAATAATATATTATTATTTTGATTTAAAAAAATTATGATTAAAATATTATTAATATTGGATATTTTATAAATATATATATATATATATATATATATATATAATAAAGAAATATGAGATATATTTTATATATAAAAAATATAAATATAAAAAATCCTAAAAATCTGTTGAATTCTTACATTTACAACCCTTGGAGGTAATTTTACAAATTCTTCGTCATCAAACTATCTAAGTGCTACTGGTTTAAATGAGATGGATTATTTGGAGCGCACATATTGTATTAGGCTGTGGCGTGGCTATGGATCAGCAGAATGTTAAAGCTGTGTTAGATTGGTAGCTTCCAACTTCTCTCAAATAACTTTAGAGGTTCATGGGACTTTCAGGTTATTATTGAACTTTCAGGATATTATGGGAGATTTGTCAAAGGGTATTCATCTCTAGCTGCCCCATTGACCAATCTATTAAAAAAAACAAATGCTATTATTAGTGGCGGATCTTGACCATTAATCTTACGAGACCAATTAATATATTATTAATAAATAATAAATAAATATAAAAGTAAAAAAAAAGATGAAAGGGTGAAAAGATAAAATTATAGATATATACTTAAATATATATGATCATTAAGTTTGAAGTAAACAAAGTTATGAATTCTATGAGGGTTACAAAGCTGAGGAGGGGTTAAGAAGATAAAATTGTAAATATACAAGTAAATATATTAAATGTAAATTTGGGAGATCAAAATCATAAATTACATGAGAGTTATAAAATTTTAAGGAGATCACGACCACCCCTCAACTCCCATGAAGATCTGCCACTAACTACCATTGTTCCAGGCACAAGTATACGGGTTGTTTTGAGCCAAGACAAACATCCTCACTTGTTTTTTTTAAAGAAATTTTCCCAAGAATACAAAAAAGAAAAAAATAATTCTGCTTAAACGAGAGAGTTTTATGCAATTATGAAAACTTTTAGCTAAATTTAAACATTATCTGTTAAGACATAAATTTAATATTCGTACCAATAAGAAAAGTATCCTGGTTGTATAAATTTCTTTGTTGATTTTTATCATTAAATATAAACTTGACTATGACAACCTTCCTGCTGATACTTTATCTAGGTCGTTTTTTCTTGTCATGTTTTGACCATAATATGATCTCATTCTTATGATACGTGATGCTATTGCTGCTTACCCGATATTATTCAATATTCTTCAGTTATGCAATCAAGGGATTCCTCTCCTTCCAATCCCCATTATTCAGTTCAAAATCAATTGTTGTACTGGAATTACACATTGTTTCTTCCTTCCAATCACCAATTAATACAACAAATTTTAAGAGTTTCACAACTCTCCTGTTGGGGTTATGCAAATATAGGATGCACTCTAGCCCGAATTTCAACCCAGTTTTATTGACCAGGCATGCAACATTATAAAGTCCTTTGAATGATGTTTGATTTGCCAATAAGCAAAAGACTTTGATATCCTTACCTGTGGTTTCCTTCAACCACTATCTATTCCTAACCAAATACTGTAGGCATGATGGCGGTAGACCATTTGTCTAAACATGACCATTTTGCCACATTAAAAGCTGACTATTCTAGTAAACAAGTAGCAAAATTGTGTATGAAATCTATTGTTAAGCAATATAGAATATGAAAATCAAACAATGATCTAGATAAGGTTTCCACCATTAATTAAATTTTGGAACAACTCTTTAATCCGAGTGGTATGACTTTAGTTACGAGTATAGCTTACCACCCTCATATTGTTACCTACGATGCAGAATACGAGTATCGGATATGATACGTATAATTCTGCTTATATTAAAAATATAGGATACGATGTTTAATATATATATATATATATATATATATATATATATATATATATATATATATATATATATATATATATATATATAATTCATAAAAAAATATTATAAATAATTATTAAATATTATTTAAATTGAACACATTAAATATTATTTAAATTACACACATCAACACTTTATGAGTCTATGAGTTAGTGCTGTTACACACACTAAAGGAAAAAAGAAAGCAATCTTTGCACGTTAGAACACGCTAAAAAAAAGCACAAGATTTCATGCTGGAAGATAAAGGAAGAAGGAAGAAAAAAAAAACGTGGGAATAGATAAGAAACAAACCCGTGATGGAGGGATATAGAAAATTAAGGAAGCAGCAACAACATAAAACTATAAGCTCTTAGAAAAATAAAATGTTGAAAAAGAGATACGTATTTAAATAATTAAAATATGTTTTGATAAATATTTAAATAATTGAAATATGTTTTGATTAATTTAACAATAATAATAACAGACAAATATGTGTTATTCTGCTCTATTTTTGTTTGATTTTTTTTTCAAAATAAAACTATAAGCTCTCAAAATAAAATGTTGAAAATAAAATGTTAAAAAAGATATACATATTTAAATAATTGAAATATGTTTTCATAAATATTTAATAATTGAAATATGTTTTGATTAATTTAATAATAATAACAGAAAAATATTTGTTATTCTGATTTTATTTTTGTTTGAATTTTTTATTTTTTTGTATTTGTTTTTCGATACGAATTTAAGTATCGAGGTGAATCAATATCAGATACGTATCCGATATAGATACCTTGGACTTTTTAACGTATTTGTGCATCATAGATTATTACTAATGACATTAGCATAAAATGAGTTTTTTTATTTCACTCAATTCTTGTCGGATTGATGGAGACAAGGTCTTCGCCGGTGAAGTTTGAAGTATCTTATTAAACTGAGTGGTACCACTTTAGTTATGAGCATAGCTTACCATCCTCAAATTATTGTTAATACTCATGATTCTCCTTCTCTCCAAGAGTTATTACAATAGCGTGTGATCAAGTTCTGAGTCAACTAAAACCAACATTTGTTGAAAGCTCACTACCACAAAGAAATATGTAGATCAAAACCGAATTAATGGGGAGTTTGACACTGGTAATGTGGTTCTTTTTAAACTTCAATCTTACAAACAAATACTAGTGGAAAAATATGATTTTATGACGACTTTTTATGACGATTGTAATTCATCCGTCATAGTATGTAGGACGGTGATATTTTTGTAATAATTTTATGAACTTTATTATGTAACCGACATGTTATGTGGGTAAATTAATTTTTTATGTCGGTTAAAATTTAATCAACATAGAAAGTGAACTTTCTATGGCGGTTGAAATTTAATCGACATAGAAAGTGAACTTTCTATGTTAGTTTTAGTTTATCGACATAGAAAGTGTATTTTATGACGGATATTTGGACAACCGACATGGTATCTTTTGTTTTTCTTTGCCCTAGCCACTCGATTTCATCACTTCACCCATAGCAGAGCTGCCCATTCTCTCTATTTCTACTGCAAATCTCGTTGTCGTTGTACGTCTGGCACCTGTCACTGCCGTCGCGCCACTTGCCACTGCTGTCGTTGGTGTCTTCACTACGAGTTTTGATTTTAGGTCTTTAAAAGGTAAGTTTTCGTGCCTGCTCTAGCCATTTGAATGTGTTTCTGTAGCTATTCTAGGTTTACAGTTTTTATGATGGTATGTGATAATACTGTCAACAGAGGAAAAGATCACGAATGTCATTCTATGTTTACCGTTTTTATAGAAAGTAAGACTTTCTACGTCTGTGGTATGAATAATTGACGTAGAAAGTGATATTTTCTATGACGGTTCATAACAATCGACGTAAAAACTATTATTTTTTATGACTCCTATATCTATATCGTATCTTTAGTCGATGTAGAAAACTTATTTTAACCGATATAGAAAGTCTTTTCTGCAGTAGTGAAAACTCTTCAACTATGTGAAAAAATAAAAAACTGGAAATAAGATACTTTGCCCTTTCTAGTGATTGAAAAAATTGGGTCAGTTGCTTACATATTATTGCTTCCGCCCAAGGTTATCAAACTCTCGAGTCAACTCGCTGACTCTTACGAGTTAACGAGTCAAATAACCAGATACGAGTTAACTCGTGAGTAAACTCTTTTTTGAGTAGACTCTGAGTCAAACTCGATAAACTCGGTAGACTCTAAGTAAACTCTCGAGTTAGAGGCGAGTCACCGAGTTTGAAGAAAAAGAAATACTTAAATCATTTTTTACTCTCCTCATTTTTTTTCATAAGTTCAGATCTCGCTCCTTCCCACTATCCGTCACTGCTTATCATTGTCGTGGTCGTCGTCGTGTGCTTGTCCTTGGTCGCGCAGTGGTGACGTGACGCTCGCTTGGTCGCGCACGTTCACCTGGGTCACGCGGTGGTCGCACGATATTCACTTGGGGTCGTGCGGTGATCACGTTCCTTGTCGTTGCTCGTCGTTGCGCACCGTCCTCTAGGTTAGATTGACGAATTGAGGGGTTTGTGATTTTAGGGTTTTTGAATAGATAAAACAAGTTAGATTGAGAGATTAAAGGATTTGGAATTTTAGATGGAGAGATTTTAGACATTTAATATTTTTTAATTATTTTTTTAATTTTGATTATACTATTGTACAAATTCAATTAAGTTTTTATTTTGATTATTTTAATAATGAGGAATTAATATTATTATATTTATTATTAAATTGGTATTTTTCATATAAAGTAAACTCTTACGAGTCTATGAGTCGAATTTACGAGTCGAGTTTACCGACCTCTCACGAGTTTACGTAGACTCTCGAGTCTAATAACCTTGCTTCCGCCTACTACCAAAATCCATCTTGTATTTCACGTCTCTTGTTGAAAGTTTGCAAAGATCATCAACACCAGTGTGTTCCAACATCATTTTTGACTAATGAGTTTTGTCCATTGGTTTATCCATTAAAAGTCTTTCAATCCAGGGGTGAGTATGTGGAGTGCACAAAAGTTTCGCAGGTTCTTATTCAGTGGGAATGTTACTTAGATGCAACAAAATTATTTTAACTTCAACATTGGACGGATCACATAACTCATTATTGATTTTATTTTATTAAAAATATTTTTAATAAATATAAAAAATTATTCTCTATAGTATTCTCTATTTATTTTTATAAAATAATTATAAAAAAATCTAAACAATTTATCATGTTATACACAAATTTTTTTTAATAAAAATCAACAACTAATATTTTATACAAGTATATTAATAACAACCTACAATTAATAGGAATAATGATAAAAATAGTCGAAATCTCACCAAATTATTCGAGCAAGCGGATTCCTGGGGTATTATAAAAGAAATTATTTTAAATTTTATTAAAATATACTAACTTTTTTAGACTAATTTTTCCCACCTCTGAATTTGGACGATTATGCACGAGGACATGTGATAAATGGGAAGAAAACAAGTGATTCGCACAAGAGAAAAATGACAACTCCTCAGCACTCAATGATTACGCGTGGAAATATAAATAGACAATTTGTATCAGGGTGTGGAATTGATGACTGAAATTCTTCTCCCTCTGGCCATGTTTGGGATTTCCTCTGTTGTGTCTGCTACTCTTTACCACCGTTACATATTAATTGGTTTCTGTATCTACTGTTACTTCATTTTGATAGCCTTTCTCATGCTAAGAAATTTCATTACATATCAGGATAGAGCAATTTTTCATTCATTTAATTATTGCGTTCAATTCCTTCGAAAAATGTTATAGACTCAACATTTTATAGCATTACATATAGCCGAAGACACATTGAACAAAATTTTCAATGAAATGAATAAAATGTAATTGTATTTTACAGTATTTTCACATCAAAGAATAGATAATAGCACCATTAATTTCATATTTATTTATACGATTGCTTTTAACATTTGATATTTTATTAAAATTATTTTAATTTTGTGTTTGTATTATGTATCTTTGGTTGAACAATGACTTCAACTGGCATTTTTAAGGTTTTTATTATCTTTTATTGATTATGTATTATTGTTTGTCTTTATTTATTGTGACTTAAAATAGTATTTACCATTATCAAGCTACTCCTGATATTGATTAAACAAAAATTATAATATTATTTAAACTCTAAATTCTAAATCTAAATAAAATTTTCAGTTATAAAAGTAAAAATAATGAAAATAATTTATATCACAATTATAATTTAAAAAAAATCATATTTTTATTTAGTAGATAATTTATCTCTTACACGTAGTTATTTATTTATTTTGAATTTTAATCATATAATACAGATATGTTTTTAACATGTTTTCACCAAAGGAATTTCTGATATTTTTAGTTGATTACGTTCATCATTTAAACAAAGTGATAGAAAAAAAAACATTTTTCATAAATAATTTAGTAGTAAAGTAAATGCTTAAAAGTTAATTAAATATTGAGATAAAATGATTTTAGTATCAGTTTCTTTAAACAAATAAATATTTTATTTTTCCAAAATGATGTGTAAAATAAAGTAATAAAACAATCAAAGTCTACTTTGACTTAAACTTAATTAATAATCCTAAATTAACTGTAGTTAAATTTTATCTAACTATATATATATATATATATATATATATATATATATATATATATAATATAAACGTAAAAATTTACTACAAAATACGATACTCATACATGTTTAATTTAAGTTAGATTCCAAAGATCACTTTTAACTACCGGTTAATATAATTTAGATCAATTTTGTATGTTTGATTCTAAATTAAAAGTTAATTATTCTAGATACGAGTTGAACTAAATTTATATAAGCTTATTCAAATCAAATACAACCAATAATTTTTCTTTTTCAGCCTTAATTATTATTTAAAGAGAAATTCTATATCGCAATAAAATATATTGAGTGCTGAGAATGGAGAAGTAAAGTTTTGCTGCACTGACAAAGCAAAATGCTATTTGTCCTTAATAATTTTCTAAAGAATTGAAAAGTATCGAATAAGACATAGACCTTTGGTGGGCCTATACACATGAATGAACGGTATAAAACCACGATATGACTCATCCAATCAAACTACAGATAAACAAAATTTAGACAAAAGATGGTGGTGAAGGTGTATGGCCCAACTTATGGAAGCCCCAAAAGGGTGCTTGTGTGTCTGATTGAGAAGGAAATTGAGTTTGAAACAGTGGATGTTGATCTCTTCAAAGGAGAGAATAACGAACCCGAGTTCCTTAAGCTGCAGGTTCAATTTTTCTTTTACTACTTAGTTCTTTACCCACATAATCTGAAGCTTCACTTTGATTTAGGATTTTGGTAATATTTGATTCTTTTTCATGTTTAATTACCTGTGTCTAATCTGCAGCCATTTGGAGCAGTTCCTGTTATTCAAGATGGTGATTATACTCTCTATGGTAAACCACAAAGCCCCTTTATTCTTTTCTGAATATCTTTTTATTCTTGTTCAATATAGTTAAGGAATGGTTGCTTTTCAACTTTTTGATCTTTCTATTCGATGTTCTTCACCTGGTGTGGCACTTATTTATGTGGGTAATTCAAACTTTTTATCAAGAATATTGTTTGAGTTATGAGGTTAGGGCATTATTGCCTTTCCCAATTGCTATATGCCTTTGTTTTAAAAGGAGACATGGGGGATATAATTCTGTTACTTCATGAAATTGGTGTTATAGTTGTTTTTATGTTGTGGTTTAATCTTGATGCATCATGCATATAACTATAGCAACCCTTAATGGGGTAGTTTGACTTGGATTTTGTTGTGTGAAATTTCCAGTGTTGGATAGTCTAAAATGATAAATACTTACTTCACCTTATTCATTTTCTGTTTTTGCAAATGTAGACAGTCTATATTCATTCTAATACACTGATTTTTAAACTAATGTTGCAGAATCTCGTGCAATAATCAGATACTATGCGGAGAAGTATAAAGACCAAGGGACTGACTTGTGGGGAAAGACGATAGAAGAAAGGGGTCTAGTGGAACAATGGCTTGAAGTGGAAGCTCATAACTTTCACCCACCAGTCTACAACTTGGTTATCAATGTTCTGTTTGCCCCATTAACTGGTGCTCCTTCAGATCAAAAAGTGATAGAAGAGAGCGATAAAAAGCTTGAGAAAGTGCTGGATATTTATGAGGAGAGGTTGTCAAAGACCAGGTACTTGGCTGGTGACTTCTTCAGTCTTGCTGATCTTAGTCACCTCCCATTTGGTCATTATTTGATGAACCAAAGCGGGAGAGGGACTTTGGTAAGAGAGAGAAAGCATGTGAGTGCTTGGTGGGATGATATCAGTAACAGACACTCTTGGAAGAAGGTTCTTCAGCTATACAAATACCCTGTTTAGATGCTTAATTAGCGCTACCCCTACATCCGTGATGGTTGGGGGATGAGCCTTAAGTGTTTCCTAATACCTGCTTGAGAATAAGATGGAGTCTATATGCAAGATGTGAACCTCTAGTTTGTTTTTTGTTTTGGATGTTTTCCTCTTCTTAAATAATATTACATCTTAATTATTGTATTATTTGAGTATTGGAATTGATATATGTTTTAAAATTCGGCTAGAAAGTGTAGATTCAACGAGTTGTTTTCACCAAATCGAATTTTAATTGAATTAAGATAAAATTAGAAAAATTAAGATAAAAATAAGATAAAATTATAAATATATTTTATATTTATAATATTATTATAATTTACGGTAATAAGATAGTAATTTTTATTATTTTTTTTAAATAATATTATTTCTAATAAACTTATTATATATTTGTTATATTATAAACAATATTATCTTTATAAAATTTAATTAAACTTGAACATTTAAACTGGAATTAATCTCTTTATCGATTTAGTTATCAGATTTTAAAAATATTGAATACAAAAATATGTAATTAAAAATAAATAAAAATATACATGACAATATTTTTGTAAAGGAAAAGAGATTACGAGTTCCCAATTAAAAAAAATAATATTTATAATTTTGATAATTTAAATTTTTTAATAATATTTAACTTAAATAAATATTATATATATAATTTTAAATTTACTTAATTTTTATAAATAATTAAATAATTATACTAAATAAAAAAATAAAAATTATTTTTATATTTTTATTTATATTCTATTATTTATTTATTTATTTATTTATTATAAATGTGTGCTTTAATTAAATTATTTTTACTTTAATGTCCCTCCAAATTATCTTAATTGCTTTTATCTTCTTCTTTTTTTCATCAATTTCTATAACTTTTGGTCGTTCCTAACACAATCATCAAAGAGGTTCAGTGAAGGAAAAATATAAGTATCAAGTAATCACTACTCTTCAGTGAAATGCTAGTAAGATTTACTACTTTGCTCTAGATTTTGCATCACATTGCATTGGATGATTGAACCAGACAATTTGATTTACTAACTCCCACATCGAACATGTATCATAAAAATAAAATATTAATGTTCAAGGATTAAAAGAAAATGTATACAACGACAAAATAAAATATAGTCTAATCTAGCTGTATCAATTGTCAACAAGAAGGCTTAACTACTTATGTACAAGGACGAAGAAGAAATGATAAAAAAAAAAGAGTAAGAAATTTGGTTTGCTGAAGAGAAGTTTTCCTGCAATTCACCTATGCGAGCGAGAAACTTCTATTTTCCATAAACTCGTGTCGAAGCCAAAATGCAAAAATCCTCTTCAATGTGGTCCAAGAATTTTTTTTTATACTAACTTATTTAAGTTATATGGGACTCCTTACTCTTAGCTCTCTACCTGTTTTTCACGCTAGCTAAACTTAAAAAAAATTGGGAATTTGGAGTTCTATACTTTAACTTTAGAAATCCCTAAGAGTGTGTTTGTACTCGGGGTGAAATGATGGGAAGAGAATATTTACCAAAGTCTTGTAATCCAGGTGAAAAAAAAAATAACTTTTTTTTTCATTATTTATTATGCGCGGAGAAAAGAGAAGAAAGAGACTTCATTATATTTTTTATACAATTGATTATATTTAATTTTTTTATATATTTTAATTATTATAATATTAAATACAAAATGTTTATTTAAAATTAATAAAATAATATTTTAATTAATCAAATCAAATTTATTTTTTATAATCTTTTTACTCATTTATCTTTATTTTATATTTTTTCTCTCCATCCAAACAATTTAGTAGTGTACGGAGGACATTTTACAACAAGATATGATAACGATTATACTAAAACTGATATAATTTAAGACACGAAGACATTTTAAAAAATACGAAAAAAGATATTACATCGCTTCCCTCTTGAACTAATGTAGTATCCTCTCTTAAAATAATTTCACATCTTTCTTCACTCACTCCATTTCCATGACCGTTGTACTTTTGATTTAGGGATTTAATTTATAATTAGGAAGTTAGTATACAATTAGGGATTAGGTATTTAATTTATAATTATGGATTTAATTTAAAATTAGGGATTAGGGATTTAATTTAAAATTATGGATTAGGAATTTAATTTACAATTAGAGATTTAATACAATAAGGGCTTTAATTTTAAAATTAGGAATTAAAAATACAATTAGAGATTAGGAATTTAATTTATAATTATTGTAAATATCATTATGTATAAAATAAGTTGTTATGAATGTTAGAATGTAGTTATAGATCAAAGCTAGATAAATTATACTCTAAAAAGTGAGGAAAATGAGAATGGCGTTGAAGAATCTATAAATTTTGCTTAATAGTCCCAAGTTGCAATAATAATGAAAGAATTTTTGCCCATGTGTTAGTTGTTTGAATGGGAGACGACTGTTAGAATCGCACAGTGGAATGTTCGCGTTGTCGGACAAAAACGAAGAGAGGGGGGTGAATTGGTTTCTTAACAAAAAATAGGTTTAAAAAATTTTCCCCAAATTTTACCGATTAAAAAGCTGTGTAAACGTAAATAATGTTAGAAAAGAAGACTGAGATCAAGAGGGGGGGTGAATTGATCTTTAAAAGATTTTCGCAATTAACAGATTATCTATTTGTAAAAATAAGATTTCAGATCTGTTCTTTAATCACAAAGCAATCAATCAACAATAAACGCAACAACAGAATTAAAAGAGGAGAAAGGTTTAGAAATATATCACCGGTGTTTATACTGGTTCACTCAATACCAGGGCTATGTCCAGTCTCCAGCCAAATTCCAGTTGGGTTCCACTAGATCAAATGTTTTACAGATTACAATCTTACACTTAATCTAAAACAAGAACCACAATTCCAGTTCCTGCACCTAACCTTTCACCAAGAACCAAATTCCAGTTCTTGACAACCTCTACAACCAAATTCCAGCTGCAGAGAAACCAGTGCCCACAATTCCAGGCACCAACACCTAACCTTTCACCAAGAACCAAATTTCAGTTCTTGACAACCTCTACAACCAAATTCGAGCAGCAGAGAAACCAGTGCCCACAATTCCAGGCACCAACACCTAACCTTTCACCAAGAACCAAATTCCAGTTCTTGACAACCTCTACAACCAAATTCCAGCTGCAGAGAAACCAGTGCCCACAATTCCAGGCACCAAACAATACAGTAAAAGAATGAAAAGAAATGAAAAGAAGAAACTAGAATGCTCAAACCAGTTTTATGCAATTCTGCAGTAAGTGTTTCTTCTCCAAAAGAAAGCAATTTGCCTCAAGAAAGAATGTCAAAGAATTTCACAAAAACTAGCGCGAATCTTTCTTGAAAGAGTATTAAAGTTTGCTTGCTTGATTGCTAAAGGATGTGTAAAAGATTGATATTCGATGATATTTAAAATGTTCAAGTCAATCTGTTTTTATAGAAGATTTTCAAAACTGCTGGTTTAATCAATCTGTTAAAATAATCTTTTAATCTGTTAAAAGTGTAGTTTTAATCTGTTAAAACTTCTTTTAATCCATTAAAACGTTCTTGATTCTTTAACAGATTTGTTTTAACTGATATGACAACGTTTATATCAATTAAAACTCTTTACAAAAAATCTTCTAATTTGTTTTAATCGATTGTTTCGTGATTCAATCGATTAAAATACTGCAAAACTTTCTTGTAAAATTTTCCAAGTGATTTTAACTGATAAAAATAAGTTTTAATCGATTAAAACGCTGTGTAGAAATTTTCTAAGTTGTTTTAATCGATTGAAACGTGTGTTAATCGATTGAAAAAGCTCTGATCGGTCATAACTCAATTCGATCGATCATATTTGATTCTGATCGGTCATAATTGCATTCTGATCGATCATCCTGAATACTAAGTGGATTTAATCGATTAAAACCAAGTTGTATCGATTAAAATACTGCAAAAACGCTTCTCTTAACATTTTAAGTGATTTTAATCGGTTATTTCGAAGCTTTATCGGTTAAAACAACTGATGAAGGTTTTCAAAACTTTCTTTAATGAAAGAAACCGGTTATTTCGAAATTATATTAGTTAAAAACTTGTTTAAGAAAGCTTTTGTTAAAATACTTTGTTTTTAAGCTGCTTAAACGTTTTTAGAGGCATTTTGCAAAATCTTTTAAGTGAAGAAACCTCATGCAGCAGAAAAGATAAAAATGATTATACCTAAGCATAGCTACGGACACACTAATCCCTCTATTCTTTTATCTAAGTGATTGTTGACCAGCTACAAAGTTGACTTTGACTTTATCTTTGACTTCATCAAATCAATAAGATCTTTGCCGAGTATTTCAATAAGATCTTCATCACTTTCAGTCTCCCCTATTTGATGAAGACAAACACCACTTTGAATAATAACTCTGCAAGAGAAGTCACTTGATAAAACAAATTAGTTAGAAATAAAAAATGAATTATTTTCCTATTTCTCCCCCTAAATTGTTGCTTCCCCTAAATAATCCTAAATTGTTTCGATCAACGAGTAAATCAACTATTCTCCCCCTTTTGACTTCATCAAAAATAGGGATCAGAAGAGAAACAATGCAAAGGTATGTAATAAGTTTGAGATTTTGAAAATAGAGAAAAAAAAATGAATACGATATTTTACTCATGTAAAGATCAATCAAAGTTGATTCAAACTTATCTTCATTAACACGTTTGTAATGAATACAATTAACACGTGTAAAGATAAGGGAATCACTCTTTAGTAGCATGTTACAAGAACAAACATTAACTAAAGCTTTTAATTTTTCTTTCCAGAATAAAAATCGATTAAAAACAGGACAAAATCGATTAAAAAATTCTTGTTTAATGATTTTAATCGATTGAAATAAAGGTTTAATCGATTAAAACAGTGAAGGACTTTGAAAGTATGAAACATAAGTGCATTTAATCGATTAATTTGACATTTAATCGATTAAAACAGTAAAGAAAAATGCTGTATAAATTCTTTTAATCGATT